TCTCACCTTTCCGCACTCTTATGCTGCTCTGGTACATCACACTTTCCACCTACAGTTGCTTCCTGCCTCTCTTTTAACTGTTTCCAGCTGATGAACTCAATCACCCAGCTAATTAGTTAATTACTTAGTACTTAAAGTCTTACCTCATCCATTTGCCCCATGTGGGGAGGCTTCCCAAGTGCACAGAGCGGTGAGTTAGCCTTAGACTACTCACACTCTGCTACAGGTACGTGCTTAGTTAACCTAGTAGTTTGAGAACCAGGAAGAACGACCATGTCCAGTGCTCCCAATAGAAAAATCACCTATATAGTCATTACATCTGAACCTTGAGGCCTAGAGTTTCAGGCTGTAGCCTGGAATGTGGGAGAGCCAGGTTCAATTACTTGTTCCACCAGAAACTTCCTGAGTGACTTTGGTTAAGTCACTAAGCCCTGTCTACACTGGGGAGGGGGCAGGGGGGAAGATCAATCTAAGTTACGCAACTTCAGCTACTTGAATAATGTAGCTGAAGTCAACGTACTTAGATCGACTTACCGTGGTGTCTTCCCTGCGGTGAGTCGACTGCTGCCGCTCCCCTGTCGACGCCGCCTGCACCTCTCGCGGCGGTGGAGTACAGGAGTCGACGGGAGAGTGCTCGGGGGTCGATTTATCGCGTCTAGACTAGATGCGATAAATTGATCCCGGCTGGATAGATCGCTGCTCACCGATCTGGTGGGTAGTGCAGACATACCCTAAGGGCACGTTTACACTGATTGTAAACCCGCATGTGCAGGACCTGGACTTGTGGACTTGAATGTTTCCAAGCCTGCACTTGAGCATCCACACTGCATTGTAAACCTGGGTTCACAACCGCTGGACCTGGGTCTCACCACTAATGCATTCATACGGGACTATGCAGCCTTTCTCACTTGGGTCTACAGCTTGAGCTGCATCCACACTGCAAAATGGCAGGGCTTGGCACTCATCCCCCAAGCGAGGTCCTGGCACCTGGGTTCCGAGTGCTTGCTGACCCAAGTCAGACTGATTGATGTGTGGATAGAAACATTTCACCCATTCATCAATGTAGCTACTTCTAGGGTGGAACATGGCATCTGTTTAACAGTGCATAGAAACACTACACAATACACTGAACTACAATAGTTCAGGCTAGGAAGGGAAAAGGAATATGGAATTCAGCACACTTCAGGTAGGGTTGTTAGCCAGAGAGCAATCACCCCAAACTGGATTTGGGGCAGGATATGAAGGGTGAGGAAGAGAACAGCTTTACCTTCTCAAATTGTCATGTGAGTTTTAATTATCAAATAGTCGGGACCACTGTTCTACACTTCATCGGAAAGACTGCGCAGTGCCGTCTAACACCATACCCGTGTTAACACTGACATGCAGGCACCTACTGGGTTGCCAACACCAGATGTCCCATCCAAGTAATGACCAGCCTTAGCTCTGCTTAGTTTATGAGACAACACCTTGAGATTCTGTGCCAGATTTTTAAAGGGGCAAACATATTAACACTACACAATTACCCAGGTGATCCAAATCCGTGTGCCCAACGAGGCAAACATGCTGGGATGTATTCACCATGGCAGCTACCCTGAACTAGCGTACCCCTGGATAGGGCAGGAAGGATATTACATTAGATCCCCTCCTCTCAGTAGTACAGTTCTGGGCCTGCTAGAGTGGGATATCTGCTATTGCATGTATCCCAAGGCACACTACAGAGGTTTGACTTTTTTGCTTAATTTCTTGGTTTTGGCAAGTTATGGAAAATAGTTGAAATGCTGAAAAGCGACTCTAAAAATGGCATTGGGGGATTCATCATTGATTGTCTCTCATACTGTAAAAATGTAACCAGTCAAAGGAAGGTTTTTCTGACTGTCAGCCCTGCAAATTCCACCAGGGTCCTGAGAGTCAAGCTGGGTTCTTTCTGGCTCATCCCCAGACACAATGATGTTACAGATGTTGGGAAGGAATTTCCCCCCAAGTCGGATTGGCAGTGACCTTGGGGGAGGGGGGTTTCACCTTTCTCTGCAGCGGGTAACTTGCCACAATTATCTGGAGGTATCTCATTTACTCATTTCTCTGCCATTGCTGAAGCCCTGGGCATTTTTGCAGTCCCTCCTCTTCTCTGCCTGTGGCATATAATAGTCTAGTCTCCTGTGGGCTGTAATACTTTGGTCTAATTTTGGTTGTTAGGTTTAGTGTGCCGGTACTAGGTGGTGGTGGTGGCCTGTGATATACAGGAGGTCAGACATGATGTAGTGGTCCCTTCTAGCCTTAAACACAGTTACTCTATGACTAGCTTATTCCTTCCACAAAGCTGACCAGCTCCATTGTCTTCAGAGGGGAAACTGCAGGACACACAGAAGAGGGGAAGTGTCTAGCCTCAGGTCACACGGGAGGTCAGTGGCAGAGTCACCAACAGAACCCAGGTCTTCTGAGTCCCATGAAGGTGCCTGGTCTACTGACTGCACCACCTCGCACCATGAAGCAAGCTTTGATTGAGACTTCTGGACCCTTGCCTTAGCCAGAGCATTATATACTTTCCTTGGACTAATACTATACTGTACTTCAGTTACCAGTTGGAAGGATATCAACCCCCCCACCCCCATATGTTAGCTGCATTTCCAATGGGAATCAGTTTGCTCTGCAGTTGTGCAAGTACAAGGAGTTATGCAACGCTGCCAACTAGTGCAGACAAATGTCCACAAGCTTAGAGAACATTTGCCTGCACTAGCTGCGGAATACATCTTTAATAGCTTCTTTGGGAGGCTGGCGCTGTGTGAATTTTGTATGTTTCATTTATGTCATTGGCCAAATTCTGAGCAACTTCTTGGCCTCTGACTTTCATCACACCTAGGGCAAAACAATTGTAAAGGTAAATTCAGCTTCCTTCCTGTGCCTCACTTGATCAGTCGCCATGACACATACAAACCCATATTTCATTCAGAGGTCCCATACTTCCCCTGAATTCACATTTCAGTTTTAAGCTACAAGTTGCTCACACCGCCTACTCATTCATCTTGGCTTTAGAAACAAAAGTGTCTTTCATCCTAAGTAACATTTTTCCTCTCACTGTTGCAATACTTCTCAAAAGTACACACCATGTGAGCCAAGTGCTCTTTATTTTTTTTCTCTCCGGTATAAAATAGAAGAGCATTATATATCTGCATTGCTGCTGGACCTGCAACATGAACAATCGTCATCCCTTGCACTTCCTGAGCTTTCTCTGGCCTCCCTATAGCAATGAGAAAACTGGTTGCTTATGCTGATACCCCTTTTTAATATGGTGTCTTTGTAAATCTGTTGAGCTTGGAGGGAGTAATTGCTGTAACTTCGGTTTGACACCCTGTCGTTTTTAGTAAATATTTCCGAAGCAGGCATTTAGGGAGACAGCACAGAACTTTATTAACGACATGAGCATTGGTTGATACTGAGTCTACATGGAATTCTGGGAATGCTTGATTCACACTGGGCATGCTCAGGGGCATTTAGCGTAGTCACTCCTAAAGCCGTGTAAATTACAGCCATCCAGCTCCCACACTAAATGCCAAATTGGGCCAAGTTAAACAATTTTGCTATTTATACCCGCTGATATCCATCTTATAGCTAATTTGGGTCTGACATGTGGCTTGAACTACCATTTTGTCACTTCGGAGCTTTTAACTTATTTTCTCTGAAAGACATGCCTACTTCGGACAAGCACTCCAAGGGTACAAATAGTGAGAGTAACATCTTAATAGCCTACAGCTCGTGTGAGGAGGACTGCCCATGTGGTCCTGCAGACTGTTGTCCTTGTGAATGAGCTACGGGATTACTCACTTGAGTAAGGACTGCTTCCATCGGTAAAGGTTGCAGACCTAGATCAAAAGGTTTGAGACTTGAAAATAAAGGAATAGGGGGTTGGAAATTCTCCAGAGAGTCTGACTAGATACCCAGAGGGCATTTCTGGTATGCCCTAAGTCTTTGTGAGACCTAGAAATAGGTTGATATAAGGACGAGAGATTGGTTTTGGGTAATGAAAGTTCAGTGAGAAAGTTATCCCATTGAAGTCATTGGGCTCTGAAAGCTCTTGGCTCCTCTCAGGAGGCGCTCAGCACCTCAAAGCGTTGATACCATATTCTATTAGGGTGTGTCTTCACTGCGATTGGCACCAAGGTTAGCCTTACCAGGTATGAGCAGCCAATTGCAAAGCCATACGCGAGTTACTGTGTCTTTGGTGGTGCCATCCTCACCCAGGAGTGTTGGCAGGAGAAGCTCAGCCACTCTATGAAGCTTCCCAGTGAATTGTGGGAAAACCAGTCTGTCCTTCTGGGAACATGGGCTCTGAAGCCTCGTGAAGGGGGGTGGGCTTCAGAGCCCAAACTCCAACTTCAGAGTGCCGTCTACGCAGCTAGTTTTAGAGTGCTAATGTGAGGCCCACCAGCCCCAGTCTTTTGACCCACAAGCTCCAAAATGCTGTGTCGACATACCCCCCTAAGGCCCCAGCTCAGCCAGATACTTAACTGCACGCCTAACGTCAATCACGCTACGCTGAAATCAATGAGACTGCTCAAAAAATTGGGTCAAAAAACTACTCAGAAATGTTCCTCTCCATGGAAATCTTTAGTAAAAGGCGAAAGATTTATACGATCCGAAGAGAAACCAGAGTTCAAACTAGGCATGTACCTTGCTGAATCAGGGCCTGAAGTTGCCTCTTAAACAGTTTCGTAAACATAGATATTTAAAACATTTCGGTGCACTTGAAGGAGGATATTTTCAGTGACGGTGCCTTGTAAATCTCAGATAGGCTCTCTGTTTGATTTTAAGATCGTATTGGAGGGGTGAAGTGTCTGTGGTACAGAAGCAGGTGGCTGAGTATTTAATGAATTTCGTTTCTCTTTGCTCACTTCAGAATGCGATGGCAATTCACCTGCTCTGTTTTTTCACAAATTTGTTTTCTAATCACCAGCCTGAAAAAATGTAATTTGGCAGCACTGCTTTTTTATCTTTCCATCAAACAGAAATATTTCGGTGGGAATAGGCCAACTGACGCTGGGTGCGGATCTGGCCCTGAAAGATTAAAATGGCCTATTTCAGCAAGGACCACCTACTTTACAGGTACTTTTAATAAACATCTCTTACTAATCGCTCTTTATTTCCAGAGCATCTTAAAAAGCTAGTAATGTGCTGACATTGTGAAACAAAATTAGTACAGGGCTAGATCCTTGGGCTGGAGTAAATCAGCATCATTCCATTGAAATCAGTGGAGTGGCAGCAATTTACGCCAGCTGAGAGCTCTCCAGAGTGGCTGTTGCCCAACATTTCCAGCTGTAAAAGACAATTCTTTAAGTATTGAAGTAAGGATAACGTTTCTCCACCTATATAGCTGAGAATTGCACAGTCATATTCCCTGTTGTGATCCAGACAAGGTTCTGGATTTAATTAAATGAGCATTTTTTAAAAAATCCCCTTTGTTTTTATTGTTTGAAAAATGGAAACATTTTAGGAGATGCCCTGGGTAATTAATGATGTTGCTGTGGAGGCAAAAGCTCTCACAGAGCAGCACTGTACTTTGGCTGTACTGAGAGTCTGTGCTGCTCTGTGAGAGCTTTTCTATTGTCTCCGCATGCCCCCAACTGGTAGATGAGGCTAAGGATTTTAGCAGCAAATGTTCTCTATAAAGGCTATTGGACTAGCCCTGGACAGGATATTTACACACACACATACGGGAGCGTGTGTGCACTCATACAAAGAAATCAACCCAAATATGACAGTCATGCTCTGAAATGATCTTTTCCCCATGGAGTTTCATCATTCGTGTCAAATCCAATTTTACCATTCAAGCAAATGCCTTTTCCTGTCTTCTCATTAAGGACCTGTTCCTGTGAAGAGCTGCTTTTTGCAAAATGCTGAACACCACTGACTCACCAGAGCCCAGAAGATTCTCAGAACATCAGAGGAGATGCTCAGCATCTTGTAACATCAGGCCATTAGAAAGAAAAAAGAAAGAAAGAAAGAAACTTTCTTCCTTTCTTCACTTTGAAGCAGTAGGTCATCCCCAGAAGCTTTTCCTACAAAAGAGCCTAGTTATAAGTTTTCGGAACGCTGCATACTCTGAAAACCTAACCGTAGACAGAGTATGTTTGTATAATTCCCTCATTTAGGGCCAGATTGCAAACTCTTTACTCACCTTGAGTAACACTTTGTTCCATATCCATTCACACTAAAACCAATGAAAACATTTGTGAAGCAACGTGCTACTCAAGGGGAGTATGGGTACCAGGATCTGGTTCTTAAGGCTATATGCTATTAGGTGTTTTTTATTATAATGGCTTGCAGATGATAAGACCTCTGGGCCAGGGATTGTCTCTTTTCTAGTTGTATAGTACCCAGCACAATCAGTCTGTGATCCCATTTGGGTCCTTTGAATACTACCAGAATACAGTTACTTCTACTACTAACTGCATATGTGGCAGTGATTAATTGTTTAGTTGTTTTTTTAGGTGTTCAAATATAATAATATTTTTGTAATCAATTATAGTACTTGCACCTATCCATGAACACATGAACCTACATGTATGCATGCAGCTAGTCACCAATTACATATGCACACAACACCTATCAGGTAATGCGGTGGGAGTGACAGGGTCATTGAGTTGTGTCTTTCTGATTATTCTGCAAGACTCACACGGTTCCATCTCCTACTGAAACTCCCTGCCAATGATGAGCCCTCCTCATTGCCATGGGATGTTGTGATGGCCAAAAATATAAGTGGGTTGAAAAAAGAAATGGGTAAGTTAATGGAGGATAGGTCCATCAATGGCTATTAGCCAGGTTATCCAACACTGTCATACGTGGTTGGCCCAATTATCATGGGTCCCGGTTCCAGTCTGTGACTTCTATGCAATGAGAGAGGAACTCCCCAAAGCTGAAAGTCTGAGTCCTATAGGTATCATACTATAGTCCCACAGACTTTGCAGGACAACATATTGGAAAGGGTACATGGGGGACTCTAGGGCCTCCCAACTGCCAGGAGGCTGAATAAGAACATGAGAGTTGCCATACTGAGTCAGACCATGGTCCATCTTGCCGAGTATCTCATCTCCAACAGTGGCCTGTACCAGATGGAGTACACAGTACTGAGTAATTCTTGAGTGATCTACCCCTATTTTCCACTTCTGGCTTCTGGTAGTCAGAGGTTTGGGGTTGCCTAGAGCATGGGATTGCGTCCCTGACTATATTAAAGGTGTCTGAAACTGAGGATGAATAAATTGAATCAAGGGCCCATGGGGTGGGAGGAATGTCCCTGGGGGAAAAATCTTCATGTCACCCAGGTTAAGAGGTAACTGGAAATAAACCTAACTCCAACTTTGATAAAAACTCCCAGGAGATCCTAGGGTTTAAATTCTGGTGACGAGATGTTTTGCTCACAGCTGGAATGGCACCTCCTTCTGGCCATTCTGGGGATTAGCTCCACGAGGCCAAAACCCCTTCTCTTTGTCTCTCTCTCTCTGCCCCACAGCCCCTCTCTTGCTCCAGGAGCTGCAGCTGCCTTTCCATGACTCAGCCCTCTGGCCAGGTCACTCAGCATTTCCCCCCTTCCAGGGTACAGTCCTTCAAAGTGTCTGTCACTCCCACAGTGACCCAGGCAGTCTTCCAGTTCACTACTCTGCTAGTACCACTTACTCCAGGTTCCTTCCAGCCCAGGGACCCTACCACATGCAACCAAGGTCTGTTCAGTCTCCAGTCTTGCTGCTTCTTACCCTGCATCCCACAGGGTCTTCTCTCCACCCTGCTCTCTTCAGGATACCCTCTTCTCTTCTCACCTTGCCAGGCCCCTAGGAGAGTACTCTTTCCCCTGGGTTCCCTCCTTCCCTCACTATTAAATACAGGGTGACAGCAAACTTCTTCCCAGCAGCCTTTGCTGCTGCCAGCTTCCCTGCCTACCTCTGTTCAAGTGAGCTTCCTCCTAACTAGGGCTTTCCTCTCACCCTTTAACCCCCCCAGCTTTCAGCCTAATTGGTTGATTGGGCCTTCCTGGCCTACCTCAGCCCTCCCAAAGCCAGTGTGGGGAGTACACCCTAGCACAACCCCACTGCCAAAAAGGGAGGCAGGTCATTTGCCATATATGTGTGGCTCCTGGCTGTATACAATTAAATTGCCCAAAACTTAAGGTAACCGCAGGATCCACACCCCCACTTTCCACTGTGAATGCCACTACAGTTGCCCAAGAGGCAGAAGAAGAGCAGGAGAAAATCCTAGTGAGCTATGTCAGGCTGTCTGGGGCGGCTCATGGAGAGTAAGGAAGAGACTCCTCTGGAAAACACGGAGATTTGGGAGGGTTTGGACCCAAAGCAGGCAATGTTGGCCCTTTTGAAATACCACAGCCAGGTCTTTTCCAACCGGACAGGTTAAACTAACAAAATAGAGGATGGAAACTACAGGGCCACTTCCTGCCCCTGGCAGAGCCTACTGTGCTAAAGGAGAAATTCAAAGGCAAATTCAGGAGGAGGTGGAGAGCATGCTAGACATGGGACTAATTATTAAATCAAAAAGCCCCTAGGTATCGCCTATTGTAATGGTACCTAAAAGGGATAAAACCATGAGATTTTGTGTGGCTAGCTCTTTTGTTCCTTGGATATTTATTTGCAGGAAAATCCCTTCGAGATCTTTCTTCCATAGTCTTAAATAGTCTTCCATAATCGAGGTCTTTCCCCATTTAGCACACACATATCCATGTACGTCACTTTAGGATATATGTACCCTATTTGTGTACGTACATCTGCCACTGTATAGGGACATATTTATGGATGTAGAAATCAGTTAGAGCAGTAGACACCTCATATGCAATTGCTCCACATATTGTATTTCATTCAGATTATATTGAGAAAGGAGGAAAAAGAGGGAGGGAAAAGTCAAAACAGGATATTTTTTCCCAAGATGCTAATATCTTTCCGTTCTGTTCTCCTTTATATTCTCAGTCCCTGCAGAATGATTTCACTCAGCCTTGCCAAGGATGTCTTTTTATAAAAAGACCTTAATAACAATTCTGAACCTATCACTATTCTTCATTATAGCACTTAAGCTTTTGTACTTACAGATTCCAAAATATGATTAATTCATTGTTATTTAAATAATTCATTGTCGAAGGATGACTATAAATGTTCTATCTCCTTCATATTTACCATGCCTTTTATTCATGCTACTTTGTTACCAAAGTGCAATGATGTTTAAAAAGAATGGCAACCCAAAAGAATTTCTTTCAGCGTCTTATTTAAAAAAACAACCAACCTACAACAGTGCTACAATTAAACACATGTTGGGAAACAATTTCTCAATTCCAGAACGATAAAGAGGTCTCAGATCAAGCTGGTTGTCTTAGAAGAGCTGTTACCTTTGTTTCCGTTTATCAATATTGTAATTAGGTTCGTGAAATATTTCATGTGACTTTTTGAACACACGAGGGGCCTAATAGTGTTCTCAATTCATAGGCAGAACTGCCCCTGGCATGTGCGTGTTTAATATTTAACCCATAATACATGCCAGGGGAACAAGTTCTGCTCACTTTTCTCAAGTGAGTAGTCTGGAACTATTTCTGTGAGCTAGGTGAAAAGGGTTTGGCTCTGAGTGTTCAGCTGTAATGTCATAAATGCATGTCTGAGATGAATCATGAGGAGCAAGGTCAACGTTCAAGTGGTACCGGCACCTGAGAAGTGTGTCTACGACACAGTGATCGCACACCCTGAAGTGTATCATTGTGCATATAAAATGGTCATTTTACCAAAACAATTATGATGATGTTTTGATTAATGAGCTGAAACCAATGCAGGTCTAGTCTTACAATTACACAGCTTGGGATCCTTGTCAGCCAGTCAGATTGTCTCCATCAGTCAATGCAATTACATAGGTAAGGAACTACGCATAAGAGGGCAGGCAGCTGTTCTGCATCTATCTTCATGCCTCCAGCACCCCACAGTGTGGCTTTCACACAACCATGTGCCCTGGAATGGGATAGTCTGTTTGTAACATCGTCTGGTTTTTTTAAAGTGTAAAATAGGGACCAGATCCTCAGCTGGTCTAAATCGGCATAGCTTCAATTCACATTGCCTTAGATAAAG